TAAAATGCATTGAATTTTTTGTTGTTTTGATGACTGGGTTTTCACAAAAAAACTCTAATGATGGTTTCAACATCCTAAACTGTGTTAGGCTAAAGAATCATTGTTGAATAGCATAGAAAGCAGTAGCGATAAAAGTTTTGGTGTTATTATTGTTGTTATTTCTTTTGGTTCACTGTATCAACTTTGTTGTCAATCAGTTTATCGCTGATGATTTCATTGGTGTTCATATATTTCTGTTCTACAAATTTATCAATTGTTATTTTACCTACCCTTGTTCTCAAGAGAACATCTGCTTTTGGTGTTTTTCAGTTAATACGCTAAATCACTGCTAAAATGGTCGACAAATATTGGCAACTTAGATTCTGTAGGAATATCACTTATAAACGAGGACACAAATGCGGAATCATACAGGCATCAAAAATATGTCCAACTTCAAAGAAGTTATTCTGTTGAACGTCATTCTCTTGCACTGAACTCAATTACCAAAAAATTAGTTGGCAAAAAATGCACCTCAATAATTTTCCTGAGTTATTTGCAGAGTCAGGTCATGTTTCAAAATAGTTTGCAAATGATCTACCAAAATAACAGTGTGAATATTCGTGAAAAAGAAGCATTCAAAACTGAGTAAATAAAACCACTTTTTAGGAAGAACTAAGTTATAGAGACGAATAAAATTTTAGGACTGAATACCAGTATATGGAAAACTTCCGACATCTTTTTTTTACGGCTGTTGACAAGATAAAATTCTTTTTATTGATTTGATATAAACTTGTACAGAATGAAGAGCATTGAGCGAAGACTATTCTGAGAATCTTTAAAAGAGATATATATAAAAACTAATGTTTTGTTCGGTTTCAAGCAACGTCGGTAACCGACTTCAAAAGAAAAAAAAATATATGATAGACTCTAGTGATTGAACTGGGTTTGGATTATTCGTATAAAGCATTAGCAATCTGAAATTATCAAGACTTCCAATCTTTTCCTGCTGAAAAAAAATAGTGACAGAAATGACCAAAAAGAATTTTTTAAGTATTTTAATGCTTTATCAACTATCAAATTTTAAATTTTCTTTGGTAATCACTGTTTCAAAAATACTTTAATCTGTATCGTCCTTAGCAACAACAATAGTGAAGTTTATTTCTTCGAACAGAATTTCAGTTTTTCTTCTTGAAATATTTGAATGATGACTATTGTTAAGAGTTAAATTGATGAAGAAAAGCATCACGATTATTCAATGTTCTGAGTATATTTTTGTGTAATGGGTTTTTGAGCTATGTCTACGGGTAAACTAAACGAATAGTCTGCTGCTCAAATCATTTCAAAAAACTTCAACATCGTTTATTGGCAACTCAATATTGCAATCAATCGCGGATTTTTTTGGTTTTTATTACTTACTGATGCTTAATTGCTGTCTTTATTTTTTTTTTTTTGACCTTCTTGCTTCACATTACTTTGAACTGTAATTTACCTAGCCTCTATGTATTTCGAAAGGAAGAAATTGGCTTTTCCAAATTAATTTGATTTGGTCAGTCGACAGTAATTGCTGTTATACTTGTAAATTGCTATTCACATCAAGTTACGCTCTGTTTTCTACAAGTTTTTTTGAAGTAACAGTATTAGTTTATATTATTCGTAAAAGTAATATTAAATATTTGTTCTAGAAAAATTATGCTGTTATCTTTGAGCAGTTAGGTGTTAGCAAAAGAGTAACGACAGAACTAAACGTAAATTTTTTGCTCTAATTATTAAATCGAAATATTTAAACATTTTTTTGCTTAAATTATAAAATAAACATACGTAACAGGAAAAGCAAAAAGTAGAAAAGCTGCTTTACCAGGCCTGTTGTTCAAATACTCTATTAATGATTTGCATCCACTACCACAAAATGCAAATCTTATTTATATAAACGTTTCTTCTGCGAAACCGTTTTTCAATATCTGTGCAGTGACTTCTCTTCCAAGCATAAAAAACTTCTTTCGTTTCTTCTTTTTGTTTTTTTTTTCTAAAAAAAAATGCGACAGGTATAAGCAGAAAAATGTATAATTTCGTGACAGAAAAAAAAAATGATTAAAATTTTTTTATCAGCTTGCTATTAAACAGGCTTTAAACCAAATAAAACTGGTAAAAATAATTCACTGTAATTTTACTGATTATGTACATCACCACTAAACTGGTAAAGTAGTTGCAATTTTAAACAAACATTATCACCAAATCTGAAAAAGATGCTCTGGTGAAACACTATCTATATGTACTAAAATTAGTTGCTCCGTATAGTATAATTCAGTAACTTGGGCTTTTCTAAACAGTGGTAAAATATTTCAGAATACTGTTGTATTAATTGGGTTAAATATTATCGCATATCATTTAGACTGCTGATCCTGATAATTTTAAAATTAAAGTGAATTGCAACTTCTCTAGCAAGACTTCTAGAGATTATGATGACTGTCAAGGCGACATGGTGGTGAAGTAATCACGGGTAGTTTTTTATGGATTCCAGCCGTTCTCCCGTTCCTTGGCTTCAGTTTTTTGCTACGTAAACATCAGTTATGTTCACTGCAGCCAAAAAAGCGTCACTTAGTCAGAAAGTTCAAAGTACTTTTATGTCGCAGTCTAAGGATACTACTTTAACCTTCTATGGTTTCAAATAAGCTGTGATAGGCAGATGCAGTTTTTACGAAAAATAATCTAAGCTTTTCACTATGTCTTCAGCTGTCTTTGAAACACTCTAAAAGCAAGTCCAAAGTGGTAAAGTTTTTAAAAACATTAGGTATCTTAGATTTTTGCGAAGTAGTGATATTTTATCGACCGAGTCAAATTACTGGTTTGTTGTCGTTCTATTTGTGCGGTATACAAAAAGCAGGAAAATGTTTTGTTCAAATCATTTCTTACAAGTATTAAGTGTTTTTGTCAATTTTTCTTTTGCTAGTGTTTTTCTTAAGTTTTATAGCTGCTGTCTCGGGAAAAAAAGTAACTTTTCTTATCGTAGGTCTTGCAGCAATAATAAGTGGTTCTGTTTCAGTAGTTTTTCTAAAGTGCTACTTACATTTTGCTGTCTAATTGATTTTTTTCTCTAGTTGCCGATTTTTTAGTGCCTAAAACAGCTCAACAGTTCATCAGCAGACTTAATTCTGTAAAAGTGCAATATTTGGTTCTATACAGTTTGGTCATACATTCGGCTCAAAAAGTGAAGTTTTATCTGCAACACAGCACACTTTATCCACTAACATAATCAAATTACACTGCCGAGCAAAAAGAATAGGGCACTGGTGACGTGCAGATCTATAAACGTCAACTGTCTAGCGGTTCGAAAGAAAGCAGCTTAGCAAAAAACGACGGCCATTGGAAAATCAAAAACAAAAAATTTGGAGAAAAAAAGTTTACCAAAATACTTGTCTGGTATGATGAGCTACATAGAGGAAATTAGAATAATAACTAAGAGTATATCGGATGATAAGCGAAAAAAAGAATTCCTGATCTGCTACAATAAACATTTTCAAAGAAAGACTTTAAATGGAAAAAAATTGCTTGACAATTAGAATAAAATTTATAGTGAAAAGTGAATTACAGATTAAAACAGTTAAACAGATATTCTGTCAACAATTCTATTCGTTATCTAAAAAATTCTGTCTACGTAAAACAAACCTTAGGCTTCTTTTAAGACAAATTAATAGACTTGAAGCAGCAATCACTTAATATAAAGCATAAAAGTTTAACCTAAAAAAGAGAGAAAAATTATGTTAGTGATAAAAATTTGGAGTCAAAAAACAATAAAAAAGTTGCTTTCAAAATGCTCATTACCATCTTCAATCAAACATTTATGCGAAATGTTATTACAGACAGCTCCCTTGGCTAGGTAGAGCTGGATGGTAACAGTAAAAACGGTTGTGTTGCCAAAATCTAGCATTTTAAGAATCTTGTAGAGGCAGTAACATATTGAGCAAATGAAACAAAACTTTGGTTCCTTTACAGACAAAACTCACAAAGAGAATATGGAATAACATTTTCAGCCTTAGAAAACTTGAGTGTTCCTCCGTTCCTGAACAGCAGTATAGTAAAACAGATAATACTTGTTGCTGAAACTGCAGCAGTTTGCTCAGTTTTCGGAAATTGTTTATTACATCACGCAGGTTACGAACTTCAGTAACAACAATTCCGATCTTTATGAGGGATTTTGAATACATTGTTAAAAGATTACTGTACACAAAAAATACTGCTCTTCATCATGCTCAGTTAAAACAACAAACTTTACTTAATTTTTACTTATTGTCGCGCATGTAATCTTACTACTTATTCCCTTAAATCAACAAAAAAAGCTACAAAAAATCTGAAAAATTTACTTTACTGAAACGAAATTAAAAATAAATAGGAAATTAAGGCGTTTCAAATGCAGACGCATTTGCAGCCTCTGAAAAAGAAAGCGCATCTGCTTAGAATTGGTTTGTGTTTCAAATAGACCTGTAAGATTTACTTCTTTTAAATCTGGAAAAAAATTTCATTCCCTTTTTAATTCTTATTTATGTTAAAAAACAACTTATACCAATTCACTTTTTAAGCACCTAGTTCATCAATAAACACAGTGAAGACAGTAGCTGGGCAATAGTTACAACTTCTTCTTCTTCTTCTGTACGACCTA